TCCGGGGGCCTCAGGGAAAGAAAACAGGCATCCGTGGACCCACACTGAAGCTGGCAAAACATGAAACTGGCACATCCTCTTGCTGGGTATTGGAGAGTATTGTTGGAGAGTTGCGAGATGGATAGTTGGTATGTTGAATGAAAAGATCGTCATCCTCAATGACTCAAGTCCTAGTGCTTTTCAACAACAACCGTTCTTTTTTGCAGCTGGGGTGTCGGTCAAAAACCTTCATAGATGACTTCTGCTCCACTTCGAGATGTCTTTGTTCCACATAATGACAGATGGGGTCAACCTATCAGGACGCTCATCTCCTACCCTCCCTGTTAGGGTCATTTGTTGGCATATATAAATCATATATGGAGAGTAGTGCAGTCCAACAACATCCAACAACCAGTGAAGGTGGGAACATGCCACCGTCAAACAAGCACAATTGCATGACATGACGTGTCTTTCTTGAAACCAACAACCCATCCCTGAAAGGACCGTGGTGGGGCGTTGGAACACATGCATTCTGTGTATTGCACCAAACCAGGATAACCATTGCAAGGTACCTGCCTCGCTGCCTCATTGTGCATCATTGTGCATCAAGTACATCTCCAAACATTCAAGGTATGGCTCAGTACTTGCTCGCTTTATATTATTTCTTGGTTCTTGATGGTTAAACATCCGTAAGAAGAATCGCCTACTCAGGTTGCATCTGAGCTTCACTATACTAGAATGGTCAAGGGTGTCTCCCCCGGTCAATGTCTTTTCTGGGTCCAACACTCAAAGCCTGATCCAAGCGTCGCAAAAGTCTCGACGTCTTTGATTCCGTTCCAGCGGCCTCTTTGGGGTCTCATGTCCCAGCGAACAGCGGAGGTGGCACGTCAGTTCGTCCGAAGCGTCCGGCTGGCCAGTTCTGCGATCCGAGGCATCCGGCTGGCCAGTTCTGCGATCCTGGGAGCTCAAGCGAGTCTGAGAACGTGTTCTTTACTTTTTGGTTGTGTGTGTATTGGACCACGACCAGGCGGACGACACGGACATGGAAATGGCATGCGTTTTATCGTTTTGTGTTTTGGGTAGTGCCGGGTATCTAAGTTGGGAAAGGGATCACAGTCTTTTTTTCCATGCAAGCGCCCAATGCACAGTGGGAGACTGTGTCTTGATCTTGGGGGAGTCACATTTTAACTTTGTTTTCACTTGACTCCTTCTACTCCCGACCCAAAGAAGTATCCCGTCCACCACTGTAAATGACCAGGACTGCGACCATGTGGTTCTGCAAGAGTCTGCAAGAAGCAAGTGGACCGAATCTCTCATTTGTGCTGGACCTGGAGCATGATTGGTCTCCAACAAAACAATCAGCCTTTTAAATCCATTAGACACACAAGGGTTAGGGTTATCACATATTTTTCAGGCTCTAGGTCTGTGGATGCACATGATGGGCAAGACTTTTGGTGGTTTTTCTGGTGTGCTTGATCCCGGCGTTCTGTTTCTTTTTCGGGTCTGCCAACAGGTGGGGGTTGGTCTCTAAATCCATTGGCCTCTTAGATTCTTGCCCTCAAGGTGGTGTAGGATGAGCACTGGTCCATGAATAAACAAACAGTGGGCAGGTGATGGTAGTAAGGTCTAGTAGATCAACACAAAGTATTCTTCACAGTGGATCGATTTTTTTGAAGAAGACACTTGTGGGCACCGAAGTGTTTGAGGGTAAAACCTTCGAAAACCCTACTATGCAAGTTTCGCTCATTGTTCCATGGTCAGTCACCTCCAATCTTCACCGCACAGCAACTGAGCACGTCCAAACACACCACCCCATGTAAAAAGAGATCAAAAGAAATGTTAATAACATCACCCTAAACCTGGACACACCAAGAACAAAGACATGACAAAACATCAAACAACCACACCTCACTGGGTTGGAAGTGGAGGAACCGCTTGAAGATTCGACCAGCGTTCCTGAACTCAGTCGGCCCTTTGTCCCACCCTATCCTGCTTTCTTTAAGGACAACAAGCAAAGCAAAAATAACAACAGCAACAAAACAACCTTCGAATCAATCTGAAACCATATGCCAAAGGAAATCAGAAAAGAGAGACAGTTCAAACAAAGAACCAACATACAACTCACATCAACTCACAACTCTGCTTTTGTCCGTTTCTTTTTTTATCCTGTGTTTCTCTTGGTTCCCCATTCGCCTAGCGGATGAAGGCCTGGCTGGTCGCGGTGGTCCTGAGGAGCCCCGGCACGAAGAATCAGCTGAAGAATCGCATCCGGGAGCCCGGGAACCTACAGATTATTAATACGTCTATTTGGGGTATATCCATTGTATATCCAATTCCCAGGGCCCAGTGGATGATGATGTTTAGTCAAACCGTTTCTCTAAAACACAAACAATTGTTTACCAACTGTTACATCCACCTGTCAGACCCCGTAATCTCAGCGTCGCGTGAAGAACAAGATGCCTTCCACAAAAAACTTATTAATTCATGTCCCAGCTTGGCACTTGCCTAGGTTATTGAACACGACCCGTTACGACTGGCCCACCACCGCGTGCCGCACCTGCACCGGTCCGCTGGTGCCGCTCCGCGGCACGGGCGTAGCAGCCGTAGCCCGAGCTGGGACGGGGCGCCTGCAAACGACGCGGGCGGGCGGGTCTGAGTTTCCGTCTTATAGCGATGAGCATGGAGATCTAAGGGATTCATATAATGAGTCCTTATATTATATACCTGGCCTCAACCCAGTCAGGATTCTTTCTGAAATGGACTAAAGAAGTGAGGCTGCAACAAGGTTCAATGCTTTGTGCTTGGTTTTGTCATCTCATGGAAGCTAATTCCTGCACCTCTTCAAACACGGACATAGGTAGCCTTGCAAATGCCCCTTAGCTTTACACTTTCGATGAGATCTCGTCAAACCCCGACTACCGAGCATACACAACTGTTAAACAATTAAACAACACTTATAGGGTGATGTTGAAGCAAGCACGATGGGGCTGCGTGCAAATTGCGACGGAAACCGGTGTTTTTTGCGACGGTAGGCCGAAATGTTTTTCAAAAGTGATCGTGGAGTTCGTTGCGCGATCAAAAGTTCAAGGAGTGTTTTTTGCGACGACGTGTTTTTTGCAACGATTATTTTTTTGCCACGGTGTTATTGTTTTGGTTGGACAAGCCACCAAGGAGTGGGAAACACGGAGTGTTTGGTGTGACGGTGTGTTTTTTGCGACGGTGTGTTTTTTGCG